AACAAGGAGCCCGAAGAGTGCTAGATAAAAGAGACCCTAATAAAAAGACTCCAAGACATATCATAGTCAGAATGATGGATGCCATGGATAAGAGACACGATACTGCAAGCAGCAAGGTCAAAGAAGGAAATCACATACAAAGGAGCACCCCTTAGATTTACAGCAGACCTATGAGAGGAAATCCTTCCAAGCCCGAAGATGATGGTGGGATATAGTGAAAAAACTCAATGAAATGGACGCCTCACCAAGAATACTTTCTATGGCTAAACTTACACTCAAACTCAAAGGAAAGACACACTATTTCATGTATAAATAACAGTTCAGGAACTTCACAGACTCAGAACCAAACTTAAAAGAAGAAATAAAGGGGCTATTGTAAGACAAGAAAAACCCCTATAAGCACAATGAAACCCTACAGAAAGACGGCACAAAATCTTATGACAATAATCTCTCTCAATGTCAATGGTCTAAATGCACCAATTAAGAGACACAGACTAGAAAAATGGATTCAGAAACTGAACCAAACATTCTGCTGCCTACAAGAAACACATCTGAACAGTTGGAGCAAAAACAGACTCAAAGTCAAAGGATGGAGGGGCTGGAGCAATAGCACAGCTGGTAGGACGTTTGCCTTGCACGTGGCCAGCTCAGGTTCGATTCCCAGAACCCCATATGGTACCCTGAGCACTGCCAGGAGTGATTCCTGAGTGCAAAGCCAGGAGTAACCCCTGAGCATTTCCAGGTGTGACCCAAAAAGAAAAAAAAAAGTCAAAGGCTGGAAAACAATCTGACAAGCAAACAACTCCCTCAAAAAAGCCAGGGTGGCCATACTAGTATCTGACAACATAGATTTCAGGCTGAAAAAGATTAGGAGGGACAGCGAAGGTCATTTTTATTAATCAAGGGATAAGTAAAGCAGGAATAAAATCACTTTCCTAAACGTATATGCACCAAATGAGTAACCAGCTAAATACTCAAAACAACTGCTAAGAGATTTTAAGGAAGATTGCTAGCAAAACAATAGTAGTTGGAGACTTCAATACCACCTTAGATAGATCAACAAGAATAAAACTCAGCAAGGAAACACTGGCTTTGAAGGAAGAAATAGAAGAGAGCACTAATAGATCTTCACAGGACTTTACATTCCCCCCCCCCCCCAAAAGAATACACATTTTCCCCCCAGTGCTCATGAAACATTTTCCAAAACAGACTATGTGCTGGGTCACAAAACATACCTCAATGGAATCAGGAAGATAGAGATTATATCAACTAACTTTTCAGACCATGATGCACCGAAGATAAAAGTTAATCACACACAGACATGGAGAACCAAAGCAAACACCTGGAAATTAAACAACTCAATGTTGAACAACGAGTGGTCAGGAAGGAAATCAAGGAAGAAATCAAAAGATACCTGGAAACAAATGGGAATGAAGACACGATCTATGGGAATCTATGGGAATCAGCTAAAGCCCTAAGGGGAAAATTTATAGCACTGCCCGCGTTTCTCAGGAAGGAAAAAAGGGTCTACATAAATAACTTGACTTCACACCTCAAGATCTTAGAAAGGACCAACAAAAAAACCCCAAACCAGGGAGAAGGAAAGAAATAACAAAACTTAGAGCCAAAATTAACCACATGAACCCCCGCCCCAATCCCCCAAATATATGAAACCAAGAGATGGTTCTTTGAGAAAATAAACAAGATTGATAAACCACTAGCAAGACTCACAAAGAAAGAGACCAAATAAACCAAATCAGAAATGTAAATGGGAGCATCACAACAGAAACCAAAGAAATTCAAAAGATCATCAGGGACTACTTTGAAATCTGTATGCCACAAAACAAGAGAACCTAGAAAAAATGGATAAATTCCTGGATTCCTATAATCTCCCAAGACGGAATCACGAAGATTTGGAATAACTGAATAGATCTATCATTATCAAGGAAATTGAAACTGTAATCAAGAGTCTTCACAAAAACAAAAGCCCAGGTCCTGATGGATTCACTTGCGAATTCTTCCAAACATTTAAAGAGGACCTATTGCCAGTTCTTCTCAAGCTTTTCCAGGAAATTGAAGAAACAGAAACTCTCCCAAAGAGTTTCTATGAGGCACGTCTCTCTCTAATACCAAAAGCAAGCCAAGACACCACTAACAAAGAAAACTACAGGCTAATATCCCTGATGAACACAGATGCGAAGATCCTCAAAAATATATTAGCAAATAGAATCCAACAATTCATCAAAAAGATCATACAGTATCACTAAGTGGGATTCATCCCGGGGTTGCAAGGATTGTTTAACATTCAGAAATCAATCAACATAATCCATCATATCAACAAAAGAAAAGATAAAAACCATACAATCCTATCAACAGATTCAGAAAAAGCAATTGACAAGATCTGGTACCGTTTATGATGAAAACTCTCACCAAAATGGGTTTTGAAGGAACTTTCCTCAATATAGTCAAAGCCATCTACCACAAGCCTATGGCAAGCATTATCTTCAATGGAGAAAAACTAAGAGCCTTCCCTCTAAGATCGGGGACGAGACAAGGATGCCCACTCTCACCACTACTGTTCAATATAGTATCAGAAGTACCTGCAATAGTGGTTAAGCAAGAAAAAGATGTTAAGGGCATCCGGATAAGAAAGGAAGAAATCAAGCTCTCACTATTTGCAAATGATATGATAATATATTTAGAGAACCCTAAAGCCTCTGCCAAGAAACTCATAGAAACTATAGACTTGTATAGTATAGTCGCAGGCTATAAAATCAATACCCAAAAGTCCATGGCTTTCCTATAAGCAAAAATGAGATATTAGGAAAGCTACATGAAAAAAATCCATCCCATTCACAATCATGCCTTAGAAAATTAAGTACCTCAGAAACAGCTTACCTAAGGAGGTAAAGGACCTGTACAAAGAAAACTACAAAATGCTACTTCACGAAATAAAAGAGGATGAGGAAATGGAAACACCCTCCTGCTCATGAATTGGGAGAATTAACATTGTCAAAATGCAATAAAGCATTATGCAGATTCAATATGATCCCTATAAGGATACCCATGAAATTCTTCAAAGAAGTAGATCAAACACTCCTGAAATTCATATGGAACAATAAACCCCCACGAATAGCTAAAGCAATTCTTGGGGGAAAAGAAGATGGAAGGCATCTTGAGGCACCAACCTCAAACTCTACTATAAAGCAGTAATAATTAAAACAGCATGGTACTGGAACAAAGGCAGAGCCACAGACCAATGGCACATGGTTGAGTATTCTCACACACACCCTCAAAGATAAGATCATCTAATCTTTGATAAGGGAGCAAGAAATTTAAGTGGAGCAAGGAAAGCCTCTTTAACAAATGGTGCTGGCAAAACAGGACAGCTACATGCAAAAAAAATGGGCTCATAACTCTACCTAACACCATGCACAAAAGTCAGATCAAAATGGATTAAAGACTTCAACATCAGACTGGAATATATAAGGTACATTGAAGACAGGGTATGGTATGATGGATTATGCTGATTGACTTGCGAATCACTAATTATCAGGGAGATGCAGATCAAAACAACAATGAGATATCATCTCACACCAGAGACTGGCACTCATACTGTCACTGTCACTGTCCTCCCGTTGTTCATCGATTTGCTCGAGCGGGCCCAGTCACGTCTCCATTTTTTGGAGACTTATTGTTACTGTGTTTGGCATATTGAATACGTCACAGATAGCTTGCCAGGCTCTGCCGTGTGGGCGAGATACTCTCGGTAGCTTGCTGGGCTCTCCGAGAGGGGCGGAGGAATCATACAAAAGAACAAAAGCAACCGGTGTTGGCGTGGATGTGGGGAGAAAGGGACTGGTGGAGGGATGGTTACTCATCATTGTATGACTGAAATGTAAGCACAAAAGTTTGTAAGTCTGTAACTATACCTCACAGTGATTCATTTAAAAAGAAAAATGATCTGGATGTGTGCCAGTCTGTGTGGTGTGACATGGTATCTCATTGTCGTTGGCATGAATGTGGGGAGAAAAGGACTCTCCTTCACTTCTGGTGGGAATGCCAACTGGTTCAGCCCTTTTGGAAAATAGGATGGACGTCTCTCAAAAAATTAGAAATTTGAGCTCCCAGTTGCCCCAGCAATACCACTTCTGGGAATACATCCCAGAGATGAAAAAAAGTATAAAAGAAATGACATCTGTACTTAAATGTTCATTGCAGCACTGTTTACAATAACCCAAATCTGGAGAAAACCCGAGTGCCCTAGAACAGATGACTGGTTAAAGAAACTTTGGTATATCTACACAATGCAATACTATGTAGCTGTTAGAAATGATGATGTCATGAAATTTTCATATAGGTGGATCAACTTGGAAAGTATCATGTTTAACGAAATGAGTCAGAAAGAGAGGGACAGACTCAGAAAGATTGCACTCATTTGCGGAATATAAAGTAACAGAATGGGAGACTAACACCCAAGAATAGTAGAGATTAGTACCAGGAGGATTACTCCACAGCTTAGAAGTTGGCCTCGAATCCTGGGGGGAAAGGCAGCTCAGATAGAAAAGGGACCACCAAGTAAAGGGTGGTAGGAGGGCCCGCTCGGGATGGGAGATGCGTGCTGAAAGTAGACTATAGACCAAACATGATGGTCACTTAATACCTCTATTGCAAACCACAACACCCAAAAAGAGAGAGAGCAAAAGGGAATGCCCTGCAACAGAGGGGGGGTAATGTGAAGGGGACGGGATGGGGGTGGTGGGAGGGATGATGGGACCATTGGTGGTGGAAAATGGGCACTGGTGGAGGGATGGGTACTCAATCATTACATGACTGAAATGCATGCACAAAAGTTTTTAAGTCTGTAACTGTACTTCACGGTGATTCACTAATAAAAAATTTAAAAAACAAAACAAAATTAGAAATTAGTGATATACCTAAAAGCCAATACACCTGTTAAAAAAACGCCTCCAGAATTTAGTTAAAAGCCGGTAAAAATGAGCTTTACGCAGTGGCAGTATCATAGGCAATGAGGTTTATCCAAGGTGCAATATTGCTAATTGAAAACTTTTCCCAAAGCTGATAAAAATGAAAATTCACTAATATCAGGACCTATAGAATACCACTAAAATATTCATATAATTTTAAAGAAAAACTCATACATGTGTATATTTAATGATATAATTAATATAATGGAAATAGTAAATTAAATACCATCCCCAAAACCTCCCCCAAAGCCAGGGGAAGTGTACAAAAGAAAACAGTAAATGCAGGATTTGTCCTTTATATCACTGTCACTCTCCTCCTGTTGTTCATGGATTTGCTCGAGCAGGCCCAGTAACATTGCGAGACTTGTTACTGTGTTTGGCATATTGAATACGTCACGGGTAGCTTGTCAGGCTCTCCGGGAGGGGCGGAGGAATCGAACTCAGGTCGACCACATTGGCTGCGTGCAAGGCAAACGCCCTACCCGCTGTGCTATTGCTCCAGCCCGTCCTTTACATAAATCAGAAAATATAAAAACTAATGAAACTAGTATCTCAAAGTATTTGATTTTTAGAACAAAAATCATCAGTGGGTTCCAGGAAACAGCTTGGCAGTGAAAGCACTTTTCCTGTAAGTATGAGGCTGCAATTCTGACCCCCAGAACTAGTCACACGTACTAAGCACTATCCAGTGTCCTGCTCCCAGGACTCAGGGTGCTGAAACAGAGTGTGCAACCTCCCACTCATCACTGACAGAAGAATGTTAGCACTGCAACTACAGAGATGCAAACCCCACAATCAGAAGGAAAATTTCCAGGAACATAAGTCTAAGTGCCAAGGCAACCTCTGGTAAGCCCTACAACCAGAATGTGCATAAGAACCACAACTCTATAGGCACTAAAGGGTGTAGCCCAGAAACCTAAATAAATTAGTAATTCTCTGCTAAAACACAATTTAGTAAAGCTGACCTCAGTAAAGATAAACATTTTAAATTTCAAAGAAAAAAGAGAAAGTTACCAACAGAGTTACATATTAATAAGGGGATTCTACTTAAACTTTCAAAGAATAGAACATACAAAAATTAAATTTTTCCAAATTCTTATCATGAGGCACGTACAGCATACTTCACCTAGAAGCCTAGAAACAAACTATAAACAGAAGAATCAAAATAAAAGACTCCAACAGATATTTATAAAATAAATCCTCATAATTCAGAGGATAATTCAAAGACTGCAGTTATGTTCTGCATGAGAACATCCATTGGCTATTCAAGACAACAGCATTTTTGCCACACCCAGCTTTGCTCAGGGTTTACTCCTTGCTCTGCCAAAGGATCACTCTTGGCAGATTTGGGGGATATATTCAGTGCCAGGGACTGAAACTGAGTTGGTCTGATGCAAGGCAGTGTCTTACACTATACAATCTCTCAAAAACCAATACAATCTAATTATTAACATTAAGGAGTAGCAAAACCTCTTTAGCTCCACAGATATTAAAATAGCCTTAAAACATGTTTTATCCAATTCTGAATGAAAATACTCCTTAACAGGAACTGATAATAAATGCTTCCTTACCACAGAAAGATTTACACTTTAATTCAAGAAAATATCTCTTAATCTGTTGAGTTCCACTTAATTACTATAAGCTCCATTCACATACTGAAATATTGAACAATCTAAAATTCTACTTCCAGAGCTCCTTACTGTGATGAACTCTTAAGGATTAATCACTGAAAATTCTTTTTGTTTGTTTTTGTTTTGGGATCACATCCAGCAGTGTTAGGGTTTGGGTGCTGGGCCAGAAGGAGAAAAAAACTGGACCAGGTTAGCTGAGAGATACCTCCAGTCCTGAAAATTCTTTGAAGATATGAAAGCTGAGTATTGATTTTATCATCTAATCAAAAGAATAAACAGCTTAAGAGCAGAGTCTAAGGCTTCCTAGGAAGACCTTGTGTCCTGCCTGCACACTCAGGGTTCAAGGTCATTTTACTGGCATCTCAAAAATACTCTTACTTGCAAGACATACACTGAATCATTCTGTAAAAATTCTCAGAAACATGGAACAACTTGTAAAACTTTAAAAGTACAATCACGGGGCTGGAGCAATAGCACAGCGGGTAGGGCATTTGCCTTGCACGTGGCCGACCCGGGTTCGGTTCCCAGCATCCCATATGGTCCCCTGAGCACTGCCAGGGGTAATTCCTGAGCGCAGAGCCAGGAGTAACCCCTGTGCATTGCCGGGTGTGACCCAAAAAGCCAAAATAAATAAATAAATAAAATAAAAGTACAATCACAGGGCTTATTGTTATTTATACATAAAAATGTGCGCGCGGCAATAGCACAGCGGTAGGATGTTTGTCTTGTGTAAAGTCGGCCCGGCTGAGCCGGGTTCAATTCCTCCATCTCTTTCGGAGAGCCCGGCAAGCTACTGACAGTATCTTGCCCACACGGCAAAGCCTGGCAAGCTACCCGTGACAAGCTATCCATGACATATTCAATATGCCAAACACAGTAACAAGTCTCACGATGGAGACATTACTGGGCCTGCTGGAGCAAATTGATGAACAACGGGAGGACTGTGATACATAAAAATAACTTAGTGACCGAGAGAAAATTAAGTAAAAACAGGAACTAAAGAAAAAAGCATAAGATCATTTAAGTGATGCTAAATTCTTCCTCATTTTTGGCAGTATTAATAGATGTATGAAATAAATCATAAAGTACCCTAATACAGATAAAATGTTAACAATTACACAGAGTTACACATAGACATAAAAGTTACATGAATTCCCATTCACCTTGCTGCCTTTGCTAGACAAAAAAGAAAAAAGGTGGGAGGTTGGGTGGGGGGAGCAGAGTGGGGAAGATGTTTGCCTTGCACACAGATGACGGAGTACCATACCCGGCACCCCATATGGTCCTCAGCACCATATATGGCCCCCAAGCACTGCCAGGAATGATCCCTGAGTGTAAAACCAGGAATAAGTCCTGAGAAGAGCTGGGAGAGGCATCCCCCCAAAACAAAAAACAAAACCCTTCAGCATATATATTAAAATCTATATACTCATTCTCCTCACCAATATTCAACAAGCACCAGCACATGCTGAGTGAGGTGCTGAGCCTCCTAAGGAGCTAAAAAGCCAAGGCCACACACCGCCACGGGGGCCTCCAAGTCTTCTAAGTCACTCTGCACCTCAGGGGTTCCAAGCAATAGGAAAAACAGGGTGAACACTGTAGGAAAAAATGAAACTATCCAGGAAAGGATTATCATTTGGTATACAAACTGTGTAACTTGACACTAAAATTAGCAAACCAAATGATTATAATTAACAGCAATAGAGCTGTGTGACTTAATAAGCTTTCCAGCACCCTATTTAATCTTAAAACCCTGAAATGCAGATTCTGTTCCTCACCCACTTGAAAGCCAAAATAACCAGAAGTTAAGTATTGGGTTTTTGTTGTTGTTGTTGTTGTTTTTTGTTTAGGGTTGGGAAGGGAGCACACCAGGTTCTGCTCAGGGCTTACTCCTGGCTCTGCACTCAGGATCAATCCTGGTCCAAGAGACTATATGTGATACCAGGGGTTGGAAACTGGGTCAGTTTCTAAGACAAGCACCCTACCCACTATACTATCACTCAGACCCTAGTATGGCTTATTTAACAGGGTCATATAAAATTTGTACAACTTTGCAATTTATATTATTAACTTTCATACATATTTATAAAATATAAACATAACCAACATATATTATTTTATTAATACTATTTTAAGTCTTATATTATCCCACCTATTTTCTTAAAAACTTAGGCTACTAATATTTTAGAGTTTCATCTGCATCTGAATAACTCTGGGTACTGGTGGCTACCAAGGCCATACCCAGCAGTGCAGGGCTATTCGACGCCAGAAATAATTTCAGGACCTCACATGTGCCAGACACACTCTCTGTACCGTCTCCACATTCCCAGACTGACCATTTTAACTAAGGAAAACCTAAATTCTTTATAAATGCAATCATAATTTTCTGCTATAGTTTAGCAAAACTTAAACACAATCTTTGTGAAAATAAAATGAAATTAAGAATAATGACGGGGGGGCTGGAGCGATAGTACAGCAGGTAGGGCATTTGCCTTGCACCCGGCCAACCTGGGTTCAATCCCTCGCATCCCATATGGTCCCCCAGCACCGCTAGGAGTAATTCCTGAGTGCAGAGCCAGGAGTAACCCCTGAGCATTGCTGGGGGTGGGTGCACCCCCCCAAAAAAGAATAATGACGGGTCAAAGACACAGTACCACAAGTAGGGTGCTTGCCTTACATGCGGCCAAGCGAGGTTCAAGCCTGGTCACATATATTCCCTGGTCCCCACCAAAAGTGATCCCTGGGTATAAAGTCAGGAATAAGCCCCAAACACAGCCGGGTGTGGCCCCAAAATAAAAAAATAAATTTCAAGAAAGAAACTGTGAGGGCTGGTGCAATAGTACAGTGGGTAGGGTGCTTGCCTTGCACATGGCCAACCTGGATTTGATTCCTGACATCCCATAGAGCTCCCCAAGCACCCCCCAAAATAATTCCTGACTGCAGAGCCAGGAGTAACCCCTGGGCACCGCTGGGTATGGCCCAAAAACAAATGAACAGAAAGAAGATTAAAAGGAACTGTGATAAAGTATACACAACGCAGTATTATTCAGTATGAGAAATGATGAAATTTTGCAGTTTGCTACAATTTCGATGGAATTGGAGGGTATCAAGCAAAGAGAAATGAGTCAAAAGTAAACAATAAATACCAGATTATTTTACTCAGATGCTGAGTATAAAAAATTTTTTAAAAAAGGGGGTAGACAATACCCAATGGAAACAAATCTAGAGGCAGGATAAACAGACCTGGAAATGGAGCAGAGGGGAGGGGACAGACTCCGGGGTAATGTGAAAATATCTCTGCAATTATAAAATAATGACCTAACAGTATTGTAAACAAAATCTCAACAACAAAAATTTCAGGTGGGGGAACATTCAAAAGCAAAAGACTAGTATTACCTATCCAGAGCATCCTTCCACTACCATTCTTCGCCCCCCCCCCCCCCACTACCATTCTTAAATGGCCACTTTTAAGGATGGCCACTTTCATCAGGGTACACTGCGCAGATTATTCCCAATCTGGTCTTCCAGTATAAGACTAGAGAATAGCAGAGAAGCCTTTACAATTCAAAAGTATTGCACTGGTAGAACTGGTCCAATGTAAGATCATAATAGAAGTTCATTAAGATTATAAATCAGAATGTGAATTTGATAATGGTACATCTCTACAAACAAATAAGAAAGCGCTACTTTTGGGGTGGTATTTCTATTACACTATAACTAAGCCTTTCAAGAGTAGACTTTACTTCCATAATGACAAAGTCAAGTGCCCCTTTAACTGACAGTGAACAGAAAAACATAACATCACGAACACTGGATGAGAGGCTCGCTGCACCAAAAGCTCTTGTCCTACAGGAAGGATATGAGGAAAGAACACTGACAATTCTGCAGAGAACTTTATCTTCTCTCTCATTAAAGTAAAGTAAAAAGTAAAGGCCCTCCCGTTGATCGTCGATTTGCTCGAGCGGGCCCAGTAACGTCTCCATTGGAGACTTTGTTGTTACTGTGTCTGGCATATCGAATACTCTCGGTAGCTTGCCGGGCTCTCCGAGAGGGGCGGAGGAATCGAACTTGGGTCGGCCATGTTGGCCGCTTGTGAGGCGAACGCCCTACCCGCTGTGCTATCGAGCTGACTCTCATACTTATTCAGTTTTACTGAAAACAACAGCCAAAATCTATACAATACTAATAAGAATACACTATCACCAAAAAATCTGCATAGGTAGTGGATAAGCACTGAATGAAGAAAGAGATAAACTAGCAGGACATAATTCGCAACTGGAACTTTACAAAAGAATCAATCTCTGCTAGGAAATATCTACAGTAAGCATCTCTTAATTTTATTTTGGGGGACTTGGGGCTATACCCAGAGGTGGTCAGGGCTTACTCCTGGTGGGTTTCTGGGATCAAATGGGGTACCAGGGCTGGAGCGATAGCACAGCGGGGAGGGCGTTTGCCTTGCATGGGGGTCGACCCAGGTTCAACTCCCAGCGTCCCAGATGGTCCCCCGAGCACCGCCAGGAGTAATTCCTGAGTACAGAACCAGGAGTAACCCCTGTGCACTGCTGGGTGTGACCCAAAAAGAAAGAAAAAAAACCCAAAAACCAAAACCAAAAACAAATGGGGTACCAGGGATTGAATCCAAGTCAGCCGAGTGCAAAGCAAGCACCCTACCTGCTGGACTAGCACTCTCACCCATGAATACTTTTTAATGTCTGCTACATTAAGGTTAACACAGAATCACCTGTCTCCTTTAAAATGAATACTGTTCAGTTCCTCAGTATGTGGACTGCCACCTGTAAGTGTGCTTAGGCAATTCATTGAGTCTGACAGGGAGATGAGCTACACTGTAACATAACTAAAGAATAACACAGATGGTAACAATGTAAAAAGGGAAAATTGCAAAACTAAGAAGGCAGTCAGGGTAGAATAACAAGTACGCCAGCATAGGAGGGTCAAGGGATGCCAAATATGATGTAGCACTGCAGCACTGTCCTCCCGTGTTCATCCATTTGCTTGAGAGGGCCCAGTAACGTGGTGAGACTTGTTGTTACTGTGTTTGGCATATTGAATACACCACAGGTAGCTTGCCAGGTTTTGCTGTGTGGGCACTGCAGGCGAGATACTCTCCGTAGCCTGCTGGGCTCTCAGAGAGGGGCGGAGTAGTCGAGCCTGGCTCCAAGGATCTAAATTTCAAAAAGCAATACAGAATCTGTCTTATCATTGCAAGTGATGGAAAAACTAGTGCTAGTGATTTCAAATAATTATGTAACATTAATAAACCTCACATCTTAAATCTTAAAGAACTCAGTATGCTTTCCCTGTGATTACATATTACTGAAAAATAACAGGGTCTTATTACTTACATGTATAAAAAACTGTATTTTATTTCATTATAACAATAATTAGTCCAAAAGGTCCTCCAAGGCTGTGATAAAGTGCTCTGGGTTTTTTAATTTCTAAAACGTTTTTAGAGAAAAATCCTGGAAAAGGCACTTTAACTGCCTGGTTCTCTGGTTCGTTCTAAAATAACTGGGCTGAAAATTCTGAAGTATATACTTCATAATATTTCATAACCATCATCTACAATAATTCTAAATGTCCACATACATAAACTAAATCCTCACAAGCTGTGAAATGTGCTATCATCACAGATCAGATCACAGATCATCCTGTTATTCGTCGATTGCCTCGGGCAGGCTCCAGTAACGTCTCCTTCATCCTGGCCCTGAGGTTATATTCAAGGCTCTTTAGGAGAATGAGACCCATCATTGTTACTGGTATTTGGCATATTGGGTACGCCACGGGGAGTTTGCCAGACTCTGCCGTGTAGGCAGGCTACATTCGGTAGCCTGCCAGTTTGTCAAAGTAGGAATGAGATGTCATGATAAGATGTCGTGCGGCCGCAAATGCAAATGCGGCCGCACGGTTCCGGGACCTAGTTTTTATAGTCTCAGAGTGTTGGCTGCTGATGGGATTACACGGCACCAGGGGGCCAGTTGGTGGGTGTGACCCCCCTCCCCCCCCCCACTGGAATTTGGAGGAACTGGGTAGAGGTGCTATCATCACTTCAGTTTTATAGCAGAGGAAACCAAGGCAAAGAGAGCTTAAGCAACTTATCCTAGGTATCAAAACCAAGATAAAGTGATGGCCATATTCAGTTTAGACCTATGATCCAATGACCTCTGTACAAACTTGACTGTGATGGAGAAGATGCAAGTTTTCCTGTATGTCCTGCTAATCAATGGAGACAAGTCTTCCTATGTGACTTGCTAATCAATGGAGAAAAGACGTTTTTTCTTTAAAAACAAAAAGCCCCTAGAGCAAAGAGATAGTATAGGAGTTAAGGAGAGATAGTGCAAGGGTTAAAGCACTTAGGTTCATCCCTTGCACCGAATATGCCCCACATATTCCCTGACACAGAGCCAGAAGTAAGCCCTGAGCACAGCCAGGGGTAGCCCCAATACAAAACAAAATAGACTCTCTCCAAAGTACACAAAAACACTAATATCAAAAGATATAGGTACAACTATATTTATTGCAGGGCTACTTTATAAATTCTGGAAGCAATCCAGTGACAAATGAGCGAATAAACAAGGTATCTTTTCAGCCATTAGAAAACCTGAAATTTGTGCGGTCAGAGAAATAGTACAGTGATAGGTCATTTGCCTTGCATGGGGGCAAGTCTATCCCTTGCATAGACATGACTCCGGGAGTGGTTCCTGATGGCAAAGCCAGGAGAAACCCTGTAAGCCGGGAGCACAGCTGGGTGTAGGGCCCAAACAAAAAACAAACATATACACACAAAAAAAACCCAAAATAGAAAAGCTGAAATCCTGCCAACATGCTAAACTAAATAAGGTAGAGGGAAAAGACAACAGATAACCTCATCTGAAATTTATAAAAAGAAACAAAGAACAAACCTTTTGTTCCTCAAGACAAAAGCTTTTTACTTTTAAAGAAACGGTCTGTGCTCATGTTCACTTGTTACAATGAAATTGCAGCAATGAAAACACACTTCATAGTCCATAAGGATTTTTATGAACAGAAACTTAGATTCTGGCTACAGAACTGAGGTTACCAAGGGATGAAAGGATGAGCTAAAATGGTAAAACAGACAGTGTTGTAGAAATACTAGCACTCTGGTAGTGGGTATGGTGTAGTGAGTTTCCCTAAAATGTAGACATTTATACTCTATAAACCAATGTTACTTCAATTAAAAAAATAAATTTTAAAAACTATTAGTTCTGTTAGAATAGAAAAAAAATCTATGACATTTACTGAAATGAACAAAATCCCTCAAAATTCTTAGGATTATTGGCTCGAGATTCAGCCTCGACTTACAAACACAATGAAAGAACTCTTCACAGAAAGGTGCCTTCCCCTGAGAGAAGCATCAGGTGCTGACCTGTTTCCCTCCTCTGCCAATGAGATTTTCTTCCAAGGAAGCACTGTAAATAATGCTGTGACCCTAACATCACCTCCTGCAATGCAGTGCCAAGACAATAAATTTAATTTGCCTCGTGAACCAGAGAGTACTAGACGGCACTCCTACTGTCCTAACTCTTAAGGAACAGACTTAGAATTTATTGACTGCATTTCCAAATTCTGCAGCAAAACAAGAATTTAAAAACCAACCAATCGGGACCAACATTTGGGAGAGACTCCAGTGGTCGGGAACTCTTACTTGTGAACATCTCTGCATACCACAGACCCGGGTACGCGCCGTCGGGAATCAGAACTGACCGCCTCCCGGAGATGCCGCACTCTCATAGAGGTGAAGCCTCCTCACCCCGAGGCGGAGGAACCGAGTGGCCCGACGGGCCAGCCACGCGCGGACACGGACCCACGGCCGCCGGCCGCGAGCACGGCCCGCTGCCTCTCGGGCGGGGAGGGCCGCCGCGGCACGGGCCAAGCGCTGACTCATCCATCGCCCCGCGGCTCGCGCTCGGCCCGCGCTGCCCGGTAGGATGCGCCCCGCGGGTGCCCACCGCGGATGCAACCCCGAGGGGCGCGCGGTGGTGGGGAGGGGGGAGCGAGGGGGAGGAGCGAGGGGGAGGGGTCCCGGCTCGAGGGTTCTGGGGGAGGGGCGGGAGCCAGAGCCCCCGGCAGGCGCCGTACGCCGCTCACCCGAACAGCCCTCGAAGGAACGAGTGCGAGGCCTTGACTCGCTTCTCGGCCTCCGCCATCAGCTGCACGGCCTCACGCTCCTTGCCCGCGTTGTCCATGGCGCCCGCCGCCGCCGCCTCCACGGACACGCAGAAGCTCCGGGCGCCCTCCGGCCCTCAGCGCTGTCGTCTCGCCGCGGGGGCGGGGCGGGGCGGGGCGGGGGCGCGCGCGAGGGCTGTCGGGAGTTGTAGTCCGGGGCGCCGCACCGGTGTCCACCGTCACGGACATGGCAACTACGATTCCCATGAGGCCTCAGGGAGGAGCGGGTGAGATCCTAGTGGTCACACCGCGGGTTCTGGGGTCTTGAGACTAGGGGCGTGGCCCTCGGTGGTTATCCCGGGCCAAGGTGAACTTTAATCCTTTAAAAGGGGGGAGTAGGGGTCGGGGGCGGTGGGTTGCTGGAGCGATAGCGCAGCGGGTAGGGCGTTTGCCTGCACGCTGCTCGGGTTCAATTCCCAGCATCCCTTTATGGTCCCCTGAGCACTGCCAGGAGTAACTCTTGAGTGCAGAACCAGGAGGAACCCCTGTGAATCGCCAGGTGTGACCCAAAAAGCAAAATGAATAAATAAATGAAAAATAAAGAGCGGACGGAATCATAGTTTCCAATAAAGTGCTTTTCACCTAAAACATGCAACATCTCATTAGTTCAAGAATCCCCTCTGTAGTGGAGACAACCGACATAGGGCCATGGATGCGTGAGGGAATTTGGTAACAGATTGGAGCACTCTTCTACTTGCAAGCTCCGCAAAAGGGAACCTGGAAGCCACCCAAAGCCATTTAATTAATCGTGTGATACCCATCCACCCACCTACCAGCAACAGCTGGTATAAGGAGCTATTTTTATTTCCAGAACAAGACGTTTAAAAATGCATCGTTCTCACCAATCTAACGAAGTTGCTTTTCATTTGGCCCGTACTGCAACTTTCTGATGTTGATCCTCTCTTCTTAGACTAGAATGCTTTAGTCTGTAATATATACATATTCACTCCGTTAATTGACTGAATTGCTTCTAGTATATGTGAGACATTGTCCTTAACATAATGCTGCCCACAGTAGATGGAATTCCTGCTTGCCAGAATAACCTCTAATCTAGGACAGTTATCCATAGATAGATGCTAGATGAGCCAATAAATTCGAGATATATCCCTTAGAGATTTATTTTTCCAAACGAAGCCATTTACATTTGGCATTGCTGAAGAAATGTTGAAGCGAATGTGAAAATCACTGCCAAGTGAGAACTCGTGACAATTTCAAGCTATTGAGTACATTCTGGGCATCAGTACACAAAACATATTTTTATTTTAATTTTTTAAAAAAATTAATTAATTTTTTTAATAGTGAGACATCATGAGGTACAGTTGCAGACTTACATATTTTTGTGCTTGGGTTTCAATTATACAATGATCAAACACCCATCCCTCCACCAGTGCGCATTTCCCACCACCACGGATCCCAGTATCCCTTCCATCCCCCAGCCCCCATCCCACCCTGCCTCTGTGGCAGGGCATTTCCCTCTCTCTCCTTTTGAGTGCTGTGGTTTGCAAAAGAGGCATTGAGTGGCAATCATGTTTGGTCGATAGTCTACTTTCGGCATGCTCTCCCATCGTGGGTGGATCCTCCCAACACACTTTGTTTGGTGCTCCCTTCTCTTTCTGAGCTCCCTTTTCCCCTAACATGTGTGGTTGTCCTCCGAGTCATTGAGTAAAATTCCTGGTACTAATCTCTGCCATTCTTGGGTGTTAGTTTCCTATTTTGTTACTTTACAAAACATATTTTTAAAAGTAAAGCCCATCTTCAGATCATAAGACATGAAGGGCCAAACTCTTAGAAAGAAAGGTAGCACTGTCTTCCCGTTGTTCATTGATTTGCTCGAGCGGGCCCAGTGACGTCTCCATTGTGAGAATTGTTGTTACTGTGTTTGGCATATCGAATACATCATGGGTAGGTTGCCAGGCTTTGCCGTGCAGGTGAGATATTCTCGGTAGCTTGCCAGGCTCTCCGAGAGTGGCAGAGGAATCGAACCTGGGTCAGCCCGGCCAGCCGCATGCAAGGCAAATGCCCTACCGATCTGCCATCTCTCCAGCCCAGAGAGAAAGGTAATAAAAACACATGTCACAAAATTCATATATTGCAGAACATTCTAGGAAAAAAAGACCCCAGAATTTAGGCAAAAGTGTATTTACTAATAATTATGCATTATTCTATCTTTGAAAAGCTAATTATTTTTGGGGACAATACGGGACAAGAAGGCAGAAAAAACAGAGTTGGCAGTAAATACAAGTATAAAGAGGAAAAGTGCAAAAAGTGGATATGTGTTTAAATATGTGTTTGGATATGTCTTGGGGATTTAATGGAGTGGTGGGACCAACTCAAGAGCTCCTAAATACAGCATCAAAATGTCAATGGAAGCAGTTTCCTAACCTTACTCAGTGCAGAAACTTCAATCTACGGGAAATAGGAATTCCTAAGATACTAACTTTCAGGGCTGGAGAGATAGCACAGTGAGTAGGGCGTTTGCCTTGCACACAGCTGACGTGGGTTCAATTCCCAGCATCCCATATGGTCCCCCTGAGCACCGCCAAGAGTAATTCCTGAGTGCAGAGCCAGGAGTATTACCCCTGTGCATCGCGGGGTGTGACCCGAAAAGCAAGAAAAAAAAATGAAGATACTAACTTTCTGTGTCAAGTTTCCTTACATTAGAGTATAGGAAGCGTGCATTTTCCTCTTTTTTCCTTTTATTTATTTTTAAATTTTATTTTCATAAAGTTGTTTACAATAATTGATTACATTCAATATTTTAACACCAATCCCATCACCATTACACCTTCCCGCCATCATTATTTTGAAGTTTTCTATCACCACTCAAGCCGGCCCCACAGGTAAAGGCTAGATAATTTATTCTATATTGCTTGTTATGAATAGCATGAGATGTCCTGGAATTCTAAAATTTTAAATAACTAGGATTCGAAGAAATCTCTGCAGTGAGCTGCTTGGTTCTGAGATTCATTTGTGAGTTTCTGGATCATGGCAATTAATGTGCTTAAATGGCACCTGGAGGCAGTTCAAGGGCATAACAGCCAGAACCCTGTAGGGGTGGAGAGATGGGAAGGAGTGGCCCATCCCCAATGCCTTGAGACCTGGAGTTTGCAGTCACTGGTCCTGTGTACCTGAGTACATTGGGTTCTGGAGGTGGAAGCATGTATTTTTCAAATAATTCAGAAGCAGAAAACAATTCTGAGTTCTCAAGTCTGTCATCAGCTGAAAAAGAGGTAGAATTAATTTCTTTCTGTAAATTAGAACTTGCATTTAATGTTGGCAGGTGATTATTTTCACTTTTTTGCTATTTCTAAGTATTTTTTAATCTATTTTCATAGATTTCATGATTTTTGGTAGTAAACCTACTCGCCTCAACACCCAAGTGAGGGTGGAAACTTCAGACTGTTGATTGGTCCTTAAATTACAGAATTGAGAAAGATATGGAAGAAAAGAAATCAAGTGTGGAGATAAGAAGAGGCAGATGGGGGTCAACAAAGGCAGAGGGCAGGAGCCTTGAACACATCCTTCTCAGTTCTGAATTTAGAGATCAGGGAATCTACATATTGCCCCTTTTATAATCTGCATTCCCTTGTCCTGTTATTCTTTATACCACAGATAAACAAGATCATCCAGTGTTTGTCATTTATTTATTTATTTATTTATTTATTTTTGCCTTTTTGGGTCACACCCAGCAATGTTCGGGGATACTCCTGGCTCTGCACTCAAGAATTAATCCTGGCTCTGCACAGAGGGACTATATGAGATTCTGGGTTTTCAATCTGGGTCGGCCGCGTGCAAGTCCTACCTGCTGTACTATAACGCCAGCCCCAGTGTTTGTCCTTTTTATGTTTTAATTTGATTAAAGTAAGATATCCTCCAGATCCATCCACATTTCAGCAAATTGTATGATTTCATGTTCCTTGTAGCTGTATAATATTCATTGTGTGTATTATTCTGTCATTAGACACCTAGGTTTATTCCATACTCTAGCTATAATGACTAATGGTGTGCATATGTCCTTTCAAATGAGTGTTTTTTTGTCTTGCAGATACATAGCAAGAAGTAAAATTTCACAACTATCAAATAATTTACCTCATTGAAAATAGTGCCCAAGAATATCTACTATCTAGTGTGTGTTCAATAATAATGTCGGCATGCTCTGTGTGTTCAGTGGTCTGGAGCCTCTTCCCTCACCCCAGACAGCTGATGGCACTGGGCAGACAAAGAAGGAAATGAGGGCCAGGCTGTTTTGGTGATCCATTGCAATTTGTTCCAATCTAGTCTCCCTCTGCTTCCTTCCAGTCTCATCCACTCCCATATTTCTCCTCTCTGTGCCCACTCTCATAGCCTTAGTTATGGAGCAGATCATGAGGGGTTGGGGTAGCAATTACACATAGGTGTGATTGTATGATCAACAGTGTAAAGTCTTCCCTCGAGGAAAGCTTCTAGGACAAATTCTCATCCAGCAGAGTGATCTGCCTAAGGGTGAAATACCATCTGGGGTGTATTTCTCCTTACCGTAGTCCAACAACTATTTAAACATTCATCCTAATTCTACTTCTTAATAATATTAGTCATTTTGTATGGACACAGTATGAGATATATGAAGCTTATAGAATGGCTCTTCTGGGGAAATCTTGCTATAGATCCCAGACTACAGTACTCAGGCCAGATTAGTCCTTCCTAACCCTAGCAGGGTCGCTATCCAGTTGTTTCTGTTTGAATCATGACAAAATTTATCCATGACTGTGCTCTTAATTTATGATTAAGTTTTATGGTATTTGGGTCCCATTTTGATGCCAAGGTAGCTTAAAGCTTGTCCTGGTCCATCCAGTCTTTTCATTGGGACTCTGCTTTTGGGTTGTTAGGAGCTAAGGACAGCTGAGACTTAAGTTAAGTAAATATGACAGTTGCCCAGAAGTATATATTATTATTTGGAATCAATTAACTCCCAAGTTACAAAAGCATAGCATTAATTGTCTTCCTGTGTCTAAACAAAAAGGACATTGCTCTAAAGTAAAGAAAGAGAAAAGCAATATTTCACTTACAAATACAAAATCC